GGCCATCTTGAAGTAAGTATCTGCAAAATACCAATAAAGCAATCCTGTTCTGTAGTAGTTTAGTTTAATTTCATTGAGTTGAATTGAATCCATTTACTCATCGACTGTTCGGATGATGTACTTGCAGACTAGATTGGGAATGTGGCGTTACAAGAGCAAAAGCCAGGGCGCATTTCATGAGGGGTACATGTTCCCTTTGCTTGTCCAGCAGCAGTTGGAACTTTGGCCCGAGAAAAGTTCCCGCAAGCGTGAATGGGTGCGTGGAATTGCGATACATTTTGCTTGATTGTATGCTCTCCTAAATTTTGTTACGTCGGCTGAATTGATTTATTAGTAGTTCTAAATTTTGGAATGCATTTCGTATTCTGCAGATGACAGTCGCTGAAGCGAGAGAAGCATGTCAAAATTGGTGGATGAAGGAAGCTTTGGAGAAATTAGTTTGTCGACAAATGCAGCCCCAACCGAAAGGAGAGGAAGAAGATACAACTTGTACATAGACACACAGTCTTAGCTTTGGTGTTTTTTCTTTTCAAATTTTGGCGGACCGCAGCGGTGTACGTAGGGAGGAAGAAGTAGTTTTCCGAAATAAGAGCTCGCATTAGGAAAGAGGACGTCGGATGCCTTCGCTGAATCGCAGTTGTGGGCATCTCTACATATTGTGTTCCTCCGACTGTTTCTTCTCGACTTAAGTAGTCACCCAAACGGGGACTGATTGCAATACTGTACAATGTAGTTGAAGAAGAACATGTAGAAACAGAACATCATGTAGATTTACACATTCCATTCTTTCAATTCAATTGATCTTAATTCTTTTCAATGTGAACTTGAGAATTCGCCGATATTATTTCTTTGATGAATTTGTGTTACTGATTCCATGACGATTCTTCAAACCATGCCTTGGTGTTGCGGCCAGGGTATTTCCGAACTGAGTCAATATACGTAGGGAAATGACTTATGCATACCTTTGTTTATTTTTGTTACGGAAATCACTTGTTTACGCTTTAATCAAAGAATGAAAATCGATGGAATTGCATTTGTCACCATGAAAATTATAATGGTAGGAAAAATGGTGTTGATGGGCAATATTTGGTGAGCAAGAGAACTAGAAAAGTTAATAAATGATACGGTTTGTTGTAGAAACAAAGCAATTAAAGTTGACCACAAACGAATTTTGATGACGTATTAATCTTGTCGTTCACACATGTAACACTATGCAGGAGCTATACTAGGGTAGTCCAACCGAAAAGAAATCCTCCCTTGGCACGATTGCAGTTCAATACCATCACCCTCAAAAATGAAAAATAATGAGAAGGGTTTTGATCACAAATGATACTTAATGTATTGTGAAGTCATCAGTTTGGTCATTCATATTTAAAACTCATCAATTTCGTCCTCCATTTATTGGCTTACTCATCAATGTTGCCCTTGCCGTCTAATTTCTTTAAGAATTCCGTTAGCGTGCTGACATGTCATGTATTTGGGTCCTACAAAGTCAATGATATAGTTTGAAACATAAAGAATTAAAATGGTGACTTCACAATACATTAGGAACCATTTGTGATAAAAACTCATAAAAAGAAATATATTAATCAATTAATCAGACAAAGGATGACGCCATAAGCCGAGGAACAAGGATTGCATTGACGTAGGTTGAACAACATGATTGTAAAATCCCGATGTCATGTAAGTTGTTATCTTAACGTAGAAATGAATACCAGAAGGTCAATTATCACCTACTATTCTTGGTGCTCCATCAGGGTAAAACGGTCTTTATATACTTTTCATTATTCTCACATTTGCTTCAATCTTGTTTGTCGTATCCGAAAATATTTACCAGTTGGGACCCAAACTTATGTTTCGTTCTCATTTCTGACAGTTTGACAATCTTCTTTCTTCTTCGTCGAAATCCTTTCAGGAAAACTAATAAAAAATATTTGAAAATTTTAAGTTTTAATGATAAGAACAAAATAAAGGATAAAGTGAATAGTATCATAATTGATTTTTTTAATATAAAAATATGATGTTTCGTTAAAGTAAACAGTAATAATTGTTTTTTATTAAAGTTCCCAATCCCTTCACCCTAAAACCTCTGCTAAAACCCGACACCTCCCAATTCCATAATCCATCTCCACCGTCCATTTTCAATCTCAAAAAACGAAGTATGCCCATGACCCAAAGCAACTGCACCTCCAATTTCCTGCCAAATCCCAACTCTGCGGTTCCACTTCCGCCCTATTCTTTGAGCAGCTCCGCCCTCAGCTCCGCCGCTTCTACATTCTTCACCAGAAGTAAAAACCCGATCTTCAAACCCAATTCAGCTCCTTTCCGCCGCGCCAAGCCCAAGCGCGGCGCTCGGTTAATCGCCAGTGCCGCGGCGACCGATTACTATAAGACCCTTTGTTTGGGATAAAATCTGAACTTTGGGCCAGAGAGAGAGTCGGCCCAAACCCAAGGCCCAGAGGAAAACTTAGGAGGCAGGAAAGAGGCTTTCGGCTGGGCACAAATTACAAAGGCCACCTGCTTACCTGCTCAAAGACCACAGGGGGTAGGTTATTCAGTCACTGCACAGCCCAATAAAGTACTTTATTGGTGGCATTCATGTAAAAAAGATAGTGAGTCATCACCAAACCGCATTCGGGCAACCGCCATTGCTACAGGAACCCAAGCTGAAGCCGTCTATAAAATGAGGAAGAGAAGACAGAATTAAGGACACTCAAACAAACAAACAAAAGCCAAAACTCTGCTCAAGCCAGATTTGCCTTCAACGAAGCTGTAGTCAGCACAAGCCTTCATCCCATTCGGGATAACCCTTCCCAAACCCCTGTAATAGCTCTGCTACCTCGTTCATGGTGGGTATCGATTCATTTTGTATCCTCTTCTCCCCGTCAACCCTCTAAAAGCTTTCAGACCTCTGACAGAGCTACATAGATAGATTTTGTAAAGAAGTTCAGCCTTGGCCGATAAGGTTCAAACTTTCCCGACTATCTTTGCTCTGTCTTTGTCTCTTTCTTTTTCTTAAAAAGCACAATAACATGTTATATATTTCCCTTTATATACAAGTTATTTCTAGCAAAGTCATAGTGAAAATGAGTCTTCAGCACTTGGATTCGATCTGAATCGCGTCAGAGTTCAAATCAGATCTAAGTCTTAAGCCCGGCGGGCATGTAATTTAAAGATCAGTTTAAAAGTCCTTGGCCTCAAGGCATAAAAAGAACTCTATGTTGGACTCAACCCATCCACGACAATCCTTGATAAGCGAGAAGTCCGAAGTTACTTGGGGCGCAAGTAATCGATCTATTTCTCCGTTTCGTTGCTATTATATTTTGATTCATAGAAAAGGCTTAAGCAGGGAGTGAATTTTGATAGAAAGCCTCAAGGCCTACACCTAAGGCCCCACGAAGGCATCTATTTAGCTTCATTTCATGTTGCGGTCTAGTTGGTCCGAGTATAGGGATTAACTCTGATGGGAAGCCTCAAGGCCTATACCTAAGGCCCTACAAAGGCACTCATTTGGGTTCGTCCTACCTCTTGGATTCAGATAATCAAAGGTATAATAGTGATAAAACTCTGGCAACCATAAAAGGCCAAATATGATACATCCAAGCGCTGGTTTAGTTTGACAGGAAGCCTCAAGGCCTATACCTAAGGCCTCACAAAGGCACCTGTTTATATCTAACTTGGTTTCTCGGGCGTATACATATTCAATTAAAGCTTAACACCCATTCAACATCTGCCATACTGAAGATGGCAGTGGCACGCCTGAGCATTACAAAGTTAATCTTGATTGTGAGCCTTAAGGCCTACATCTAAGGCCCCACGAAGGCACCCTTTCAAATTAACTCTGTCTTTCTCTTTCAGAACTGCCCGACGAGCCTTGCCCGAAGTGTGTCTTGCCCGACCAAGATCTGCCCGACAAAGGCTTGCCCGAGCGAGCTCAAGAAGAAAGCAGAAGTACGACAGATACCCTCAACCGACGCCATTCTCCCAGGGGAGCTGTGTGCTCGTCTGCCAGGAGATTCCTGCGACGAACACCCTTAACGTCACCAGAACTGCCACGCTGCAGGAGATCAAGTCCGCTACAGAAAGCTCGCCCAAAAGGTTAGCTACTTCTTTCTGTTGTTTATTTTCCAATGCGTGTTATTTGCATACAAATTGAAGCAGAAGAAAAGATTTTTCAGAAATTTGTAAGTTGGATGCATTGAAAGTTGAAACCCAATTTAGCACTGTAAGCAAAGCTGCTTGATATGTTCGAATGAGTGGCGATTAGCGAAAGATTTAGTTTTTTCATCCGGAAGGCGGTGATTTTGATGTCAATTGTGTTGCAATTAGCCATGATACTCATATATAGATGATATAATCTAATTACATTTTGTGTCGGATGGAAATTTGATATCGGAAATGGTGGAACTTGGAACAGTATCATCCGCACAAGGGCGGTGGAGCTGAGGACAAGTTCAAAGAGATTAGTGCTGCGTATGAGGTATTACGATTTATGATTTCTAGTTTTTCTTCTTCAGTGATGCTGCATTGTCATTTTTCTCTTCATTTTCGCATTTCTGTTTTTCTTTTGGCATCAGTTTTCAGTAAAAGATGGGATTTTTTCTCATTCATTTTATCGTCATGTATTGATTTGACTCTTGTTTTCTGAACCTCCAGAGTGTATTGCATATGATGCATCCATGCTCCGTTTTTCATTCATCATTTTTGTAGGTCCTATCAGATGGCGGGAAAAGGTCTTTGTACTGGTTTGATATTGAGTTGCTTTTATAAAAAGTGGGTATCAAAAAAAGCTGAGCTCAAAAAAGTGTTTGGTAAACACTTAAAAACAGCTTATTTTCACAATTTTGAGTGAAAAAAAAACTGAACACGTGAAGCAGTAAAAATGAGTTTATTCTCACAGCATAGCAGAAACAGTTTTTTTTCAAAGCACAGCAATACCAAACCAGTTATATGATCACTTTGGTGAAGCTGGTTTAGAGGGAGAATATGATTCCTCGACCATGGGTTCATCAGGGGTAAGATCTTCCTGGTCTTCTCAGTAATATAGACATGGGAAAGTGCATTTTTCTTAGTAATTTTTGGTTGCTTTCCTAGTGAAGTAGATGACCGGTTTAACTGCATGCTAATGAATCACCAAAATTCTGTAGGTGGATCCTTTTGACGTTTTTGATACGTTCTTTGGAGGGTCAGATGGGATTTTTGGTGGAAGGGGTGAATCAGGAGGCATGAACTTCAATTTCAGCAGTAGGGGAAACCAGCGTCTTGACATTCGGTAACCGTGTAGTTTCACTGTTACAGTTGAATGATCTTCCCCATCTGTTTTGGAGGCACATAAATTATGTTTTCTAGGCTTTTCTTTTAACTTTCATGTTGCAGGTGCGATCTGTGTTTGAGCTTTGAAGAATCCATTTTCTGGGTACAGAGAGAAATTGAAGTTTCTTGTGTTGAGACATGTGATGACTGCGGTGGAACAGGTGCTAAATCTGATACAACAACAACAACAACAAAGCTTTTTCCCACTAAGTGGGGTCGGCTAAGGTGCTAAATCTGATAAAGGAATAAAATCATGTACTGGTTGTGGAGGAAGAGGAGGGGTGATGAAAACTCAGAAAACACCATTTGGAACGATATCGCAGGTAAAGAGACCTGCTTATAACATTAAAAATCATCAAAACTGCATTACCTCCAGTTACGCAAAAAGTTTCTTGGCCTCATAATGCAGACACCATAGAAGTCTTCCTATAATTTTTTCAAGACCACACTCTAAGAGATATGCTTCACAGATGATATTTAATGATTAATAGGTATCAACCTGTTCAAAATGTGGTGGTGATGGTATAATAATCACTGATCCTTGCCAAAGATGCAGTGGTGATGGACAAGTGCAGTAAAAAAGAACTATGAACGTGATCATCCCAGCTGGTGTTAACGATGGATCCACAATGCAAATTCAAGAAGAGGGGAAGTTTGATAAGAAAAGGTTTATGCACAATTTAAATTTACGTGTGCGTTAAATCTGTTTTCCTCATTTAGTCTAGTTGTTGATGCCTGTTCTTTGTTAATTCAATATGTTTGAAAACATACAACCTCTATGACAGAAACAAATTCCAATAAATACCAACGTTTTCTGATCTACCCATGGCGTGCACTTTTATGTTCTAGTGCTGATTTGTTTGGCGTTTGACCATCTATGGTAACAATGAGATGCACTTTTATGTTATACTTAATAGAATTGGCGCGATTTGTTTGTACTTTTCAAGACTCTCGCTGTATGAGACTTGATAGTAAGGCATGCCCTGCACTAATATCTTTATCATCTGCACTATGGCAGGGGTAAAGCTGGTGATGTCTACATAGTGCGGTCTCGATCTGTACTCAAAAATCAATACTGATTATACCGAGGCCATTTTAGGGACCGTCATAAAGGTAATCCTACCATTATCACTTAGTGAAGGTCTAGAAATATCAATGTTCTTTTATTTGGTATAAGTCGTATGACATAGAAATTGTGATATAACTTCAGGTTGAAACTGTTGAAGGTTTGAAAGAGCTTCAGATTCCTTCGGGAATTCAACCTGGAGAGACAGTGAAGTTGCGACGCATGGGGGTTCCAGACATCAACAGACCTTCTGCTCGAGGAGATCACTTTACTGTCAATGTTCTGATCCCAAAGATAATCCGGTTGGAATCCTTATACTATGTTATGCTTCCTTCTTTCCTCTAGTTTAAACTTATTAGTTGAACTTGGCATCCAGCTTGATATCTCAATACCTTCCGTTCTGTTCTTCGTTGGAATTTATTGTAACTTTAATGACAGTGATAAGGAACGTGCCCTTGTCGAAGAACTGGCTTCACTTAAGTCATCTAGAGAAGGCCATTCAGCTGCTCCCAAAGGCACTGGTATAGTTCGGGACTCTTATAAACCACTATCTAAGTTGAAACACCATAGTAGGTTTAAATTATGACTAGGAAAAATTCGTGCTTATTTCAGGGATACGAGATGGGAACTTTGGCAAGCATAGAACCAGTGCTTCAAACCAGGCCACTAAACGTTCTGTATCCTTGTGGGAATCGATAAAGGGCGTATTGGGGTATGCCTCAGTCGCGGTTCGTTTCTACTGTTCTGACTTTCAGTCTTAAACATGCCCTTACGTTCATTTGAAAGAGAAAACGTTCCTCGATCCTTGAACTCATCTTGCATACGCACGAGCCTTTCTTAACCATTTGCCCATTTCGCAGGAAGAGGCAGTCGGGAGAGGGATTTGCATCACTCAGCGTGGACAGGCCACCATTGTCACGGGGTTCATTCAAGCCAAATCCGTCGTATATGGCATCAGTTTTTACTGTTTTAGTTGTAATGTGTATTTGTACCGTGATTGGAAAGGCCGATAACCTCACTTTGTTACAGCAAAAGGATGGTTCTCCTCGTACTCGTAGAACAAAAAAGAACAACGTTGATAGAAATACAAAGTCTTAAAAGTTGCTAACTATGATGTAGTTTTTACCTACAACATTGTACATTGGATTTTAGGAAATCCTAAGTCCCTCCTCTGTCGTCCAAATGTATTTCAGTCTTGATTGTCGAGAAATTTTTTGAATATTATCTAGTTTTTACGAGGAGAGTGATTCGAGCTCGGAATACAAAGAGACTACACGCTAATCAACTCTAGTTTTTGTGATGTACATAATAGTGGAGAAATGATAAACACTCTTTTCGCCTTTCAGATTCTTGTCTGATCATGTCTTTTGTTTTTGTTCGAATAAAGAATGGTATATGAAAAGCTAAAAAATATGTATAAATTTTTATTTTTATTTTTATTTTTATTATTTATAATTATTTAAATGAAATAGTAATACTACATGACGGTGTTCCAGAAAAAATTACTCAAAATAGTGGGCAGGGTGGCTGATCCAGATGGACCTCGACCCGAGCCCAAGTTGAATCGACAAAACCCCTAAAAGGCGACCCATGAAATACCTACCGCAAGTGCTTCTTCTAGGGTTTAGCCGAGAGCCCGTTTCTGCTCTACCGCTCAGTCATCTCCTTACGAACCCGCCGTCGCCATGGTACCTCTCTCTCTCTCTCTAAATCTCAACAATATTAATCATATATTTACTGCTTCTGCGTTTGATTTTCCAATCTAAATCTGTTAATATTTAGTGGTTATGCGATGATTGCTACTGTTCTTTGCTTTAATTTTGTGGGTTAAACTTGGGATTTATGTTAAGATTATACCCTGATTGTATGATGGATGCCATATTTAAATCATTGAAAAATTAGCATAAACTTGTTTTAGTTTAGCTCAGAAGAAAACTGTAACAATTGATGCTTGAATGTGCTTCCTTACTCCTTAGGAGTTGTAGGTGGTTTTCCTGTGGATGACTATTGAGTGCCCGAAATAGAAAATGGGTGTCCGGGATTTCACGGTGGTCCGGTACCCGCTGTGGAACCGGTGCACCTCTGCTTTGGCTCGTGATCGAGTACTCAATAAGTATGAAGATAACCATTTGCTATTTTAGGTGCCCAACCGCCAATGTCACCTCCATTAGTCACACCTTAGTTTACGGATGCCTCTTAGACTTCAAAGTTACGCATCTGACAATGAACCGTGCGAAGTGTTCGCTTGTATTTAGGATGATTTTGTTAAGTGTGTTCTGGTTCTTGAATATGGTTATTAGATTGTTGTGTCGAAGTTATTGTTTATCTGCACACGTTGTGTAAAACCGTTATTTTGTGATTATCTTGGTGTTGGTTAGTAATTTCTTATGCTGCGTCTTGTAATTGGGTTTTTGTTTATTCAGATTGCATAATCCCTGTTGTAGTTTGTGTTTCTGTGTGATATAATGGATCATTTCAAATGTGGTAATGTTGTAGGTGAACGTTCCGAAAACAAAGAAGACCTACTGCAAGAGCAAGGAGTGCAAAAAGCACACCTTGCACAAGGTTACCCAATACAAGAAAGGAAAGGATAGCCTTGCTGCTCAGGGAAAGAGGCGTTATGATCGTAAGCAATCAGGTTATGGAGGTCAGACCAACCAGTGTTCCACAAGAAGGTAAAGATTGACTTCTTGCCCCCTTTTCATACTGGGAATGTATAAAGAATAATTGAAAACCAAATGTCTAGATATTTCTATTTCCGCAGATTGATTTCTCTGTTCTTATTGTTCGTTTTTTCAATAATGATCACATTTAACTTTATAAACAGGCAAAAACTACCAAGAAGATTGTTCTGAGGCTCCAATGCCAGGGTTGCAAGCATGTGTCCCAGCACCCGATCAAGGTTAGTGTATTTTGTGTGCAATTTGCTTGTTTCTGTGTATAACCCCGTTATTTTTTTGCTAAGGGTTGATTGTTGTCACTGATTTCTGCAGAGGTGCAAGCATTTCGAGATTGGTGGAGACAAGAAGGGGAAGGGAACCTCTCTTTTCTAAATTTACTGCTTCTGATAGATATTGTGTTACTTTTCTATCTTGTTGGAGCTTTAAAGCAAATATCGTGGCTTTAACTGTCCCTATTATTAGTTTTCTGTTAAACTGCAGATTCTTCTTGACGATCTTTTTCCGACTTTGAATTTATTAGAGTTTCTGTTTTAAATCGATATCGCATTTTGATATTTTCGTTCATTTCGTTATCATGGGATGTCTGGCTGCATCCTTGTCTTTGATGTTGGACAACCAGACAAGTTCATGGCATTTTGATCTTCTGTTTTCTTTATGTTTTAGTTTACCATTTCCTGTTTGCGTTCTAGATCGCCACGACTTGAAGCGATTGAACTTGGCAGACAACAATTTTTCCGGCGAGATTTCTCCAGGTTTGAACAATCTGGTGTTTTCTTTGGTGCTCCACAACAAGAAGCTTTATAGGTCTATTTTTGAGCTGAAGCTCCCCAAACTCCATGAGTTCAACATATCCAATAATTCAGGTTATCCAATTCCCCAACAGGAACAAATAATAGTCGGAGGACCCGAATCTTTTCCGATCCAACACACCTCTTAATCCGTACAAAGGTTTATGTTTTTATCATCACGTTGGTAGGGCTTCCTTTTGGGACAGAGATCCTTCCCCGATCTTGCTGTCTAGAGCTTAACGATCAGATAATCTGAACCATTCAAATTAAATTTAACGCTCTTCATTAACTTATTTCAGTGGTCCACATCATAACAAACCAAAGGCTCCGATTTCTCTCTTTCACACAAACTAAGGGTCCTGATTTTCTAGTACGGACAGTAGGGTCCGGGATCCAAATTCCTCCATTTGATATAACGTGCAGGCTAACGTGATTATTTATGCTAATAAAACAACTAAACAAAGGTCTTATGTATGGAGGAGGATTGTCTGCCCTCCAAGTTACCGTGCCCTCCCATGCCCTCCTGATTGTGTGGTCACGGTTAAACCACGTTAATATTTTATATTATTATTTATTTTTGTTTTATTATCTTTATAAAAAAATAATATAAAATATTAACGTGACTTAACCGTGACCACACAAAACAGGAGGGCATGGAAGGGCACCGAAACTTGGAGGGCAGACAATCCTCCTCCCTTATGTATCCAGTAGTAAGTTGGCCCACTTGGTAAAGCAAATGCAGACGAATCAGATCTGTGCTTTTGCAAAGGCAGGGCAAATTGTGGTGTGCATCAGATAGGGATAATTTGCTGTATACCAACTAATCACTTCAATGGTGTGATGTCGGATCACGCCATTTGTAGGGAAAATTTTTTAAAGTATGAGAGCTCTTGTATTTTGATGCTATCTGATACGCACAATTATGTAGGTCACTCAAACCACATCATTCATAGAGCAGTTCTCGTAGACCTTCAAGCAGTCAGATTATTGCGAATCATGTGAGAGAGTTGCCCTAATTAGTTAGTCTAACCGAAGTTTTCCAACAACTGTGCAAACCTTGATTAGAGTGGAAATATGAATTCAAACTGTGCTTCAGATATCAAATTTAATTGGTAAGAAATTTGTAGCTAAAGTGATTAAGAGTATTTATTCAAACAGCCGAGATCTTGTGTTCGGTTTTCTCCTTGAAATGTCCTTTGTAACATAAAAGGGAATATAAATTAAGTGGAGATGTGCAGGTGGACAGCCTTGAACATCGTAAGCCAGAAAAAGCTAGCTACAAAAGTAAATATGGTATCAGAAAATGTTGTCGATCATTACCAAAATGTGTAGATTGACAGATGCTCTCATGATTTCTCAATTAAATCTAAAAATATTTTGAGGGGTTACCTTTTCTTGTGAATAATAATCTTGAGCTGTCTTTTTTCTGTCTTCTTCTTAATAATGTAATTAACACTTTCTTGTGAAAATGTACAATCTAATTCCTAATTAGTCTTAACTAATTAATTAAGAAAAACATATTTGTTTGTGGAGTGTTGAAATGCAAGTAAAATGGAGCTTTATTTTCTTACAAAGTAATTAACCCTCCTACACATTACTAATATGCTAATACAAGAGTGAGCACTAGCTAGTATTTGAAAATTAACAAGGATACTAATATAATTAAGTAGTAGAAGGGTCAGTTTCACTGAGAGTAAAATGGAGAGTAGGTACCTATAATTTACGGGGGTGTTAGCAATTTTCTCTTTAAACATCTCTTTTTATATTCTTGTTTTTCTTTATGCTCTTTTAATGTTGTTTGATGATTAGAAATTTAGAACTATCCGAGGTAAAGTAGAAGTGATCACAATAGAAAGTAAGATGAGAGAAAATTGGTTAAGATGGTTTGGACACGTAAACCAAAGACCAATATATGCTCCAGTTCGAAGATGCAATTATGAGACGGAGACTAAGGGTAAAAGCGGTAATAAAAGATTTAGGCAGACTTGGAAAGAGATTATAAGAGAACATATGGATATATGGAGCTAACGAAAGACTTGGTACAAAACCAAGCGCAGTAGTGTTCTAGGATTCATGCAGCAGATCTCACTTAGTGGATAAAGCTTGGTTATTGTTGTTTTGTATCATTTAGGTCATCCCCTTAAAGAGCAATTCAACAAAAATAAACCAAAACCATCAATCATTTAACCATTCGATTGTTGTCATAAATAGACGGGTTCAATCATCATACAACATTGCAGGATTTAAAAATGACGTAAAAGAAGAAACTCCAATCGAGATGCTAACATTGTTCATTACATATGAGTCATTTATAGTTAACCATACAAGAAAGTAACTGCAGCTAGCTGTTGTACATATATGACTACACATGTGGCGTAAATTTACATACGTACGTGTATGGACAATGTATTTACCAACTAATCAAACCAAAAGATTGCGGTTTTCTTTGTTTTGGACCAACGGCCTCAACTAATTCAGTAGAATAAATGCACACGTACAGCGCTACGTGCAAGAGATATGCACATATCGATCAATATTATGGCCTCCCAATCAGCTATCAGATTAAAGATAGCAGATAGGAATTTAAGCTGATATCAAATGCCAATGCAGCTCTCTCTCTCTCTCTCTGTCTGCATGTGTGATGATGACGATGTGTTGGTGTTTTTGTGTTTGTGAGAGAGAGAGAGAGAGACAGGCCGACACGGAAAGCATGCAACATGAATTATGACGAACAGCTACTTAATTTCTGTGTCATTATTCTTGTTTTCCTCTTTTCGGCCGAAATTATATTTCAATTTAGAT